AGCTTTTCATGGTCAGTTTTCTCCAGCTGACACAATACCAGCCCAGGTCAATAAGATCAACCTGTTCCCTCAATGGAGGAGAAACACAGTCTCCCCTGAAAGTGTCTGAACCTTTATATTCGGAAGAGCTGCAAGTCTAGCTGATGTAACAGGTTAGGGGAAGGTGGCTGGCTTACTCCTTGTTTATCTTTTTTCTAATACTTTCTTTTCCCACCATCCCCCATAGGAAAGATCTGAGAAAGAAATAGTGGCTTAAAGATTTTCATTAGTTTGTTATTCATGTATTTACTCAAGAAGCAATGTGACAGATGCTGAGATGTTCTTTCTTCTTTCCTGCCTAGTTTTAGAGATTTTGCGTCCCATTTTGAGTGCTGGACTGTTTCTTTCCTCTTTTGTGGATGTGAGTAGCAGCAGCTAGACTAGGCAGGAAGAAAGAGAAAGAAGTCATCTCTACATTGTGTGGTGCCACTAAAGTATGCAATGCCTTGCTATTGAGCTCCACAGTGCTGCTTAGGGCAGTGATACCCAAAGCAGCTAGTCTGCCTACTGTTGCCTATCCAAGATGACATAAGCAGCTTGTGAAGCAACACACTGCTTTGTCAAGAAAGACTTTCCAGGGAAATAATTTCAGATGAGCCAAACTGTGTGCTTAGAGGTGTGGCAGGAGAAGTTGGGGTAGAGAGGTTAGACCTGTGGCCATAGTCTTGCAAGCAAACTACTCTAAGTTCTCCTATAGAAGATGTATGAGAGACCAACATTTCTGAAAAATGTTATTGGGCATCTTATTAAAGCTTCTATGGTAATAACTAAGGCTCTAGAAACTGCATTGATGATGTGCATTTACAAAAATTTGCCATTGGTATAGAAACAGTACCTTTGGCATGTCTTCTAATCCTAGGAAAGGGGGTAAACTATTCAGGAACACAGTTGTTTGGCAGGAGGTGGGTGCTAAACCCACTTTTGAGAGAATTAAAATGAGGGAGTGGGTAGAGAGTAAGGTGGAAGATGAAGACACATTACACTGTGAATCAAATCTTATTTTGATTAATAACAAGTAATGCAGAATTAGTGGTGAATTAGGACTGGGATGATTCTTATCAGATCAAAACTAACACCTCTCTACTGGTTATTTAGCTAACACTATAAATTTTTTCACAGTGCATCACTTTCTTTATTTGATTCACAAAACAACTCTGTCAGATTGGTGAAGTCAACCTTCTTTTGATTGACAAGCCTAGATGCTCAGAGACCAGAGGCACCTCCCTAAAATTCCATGGCCAGTAAGAGGCAGGGGTAGATTGAGTCTTCTGAGTACTATTTAATATACCTTCCAATGACTGTGCTCATTTAAACAAAATGATTGGTTAATGACTGGTGGCTCAGATGGTAAAGAATCTGCCTGCAGTGCAGAAGACCTGGGTTTGATCCCTGGATTGGAAAGATCCGCTGGAGAAGGGAAAGGCTACCCACTCCAATATTCTTGCCTGGAGAATTCCATGGACAGAGGAGGCTGGTGGGCTACAGTCCATGGAGTTGGAAAGAGTAGGACATGACTGAGTGACTAAGACTTGCTACTTGCTATTCATGAAATACAATCTAATGGCACAAAATCCAAGGTAACTTCTGCCACAGCAGAAGATAAAACAGGAAGGAATTAGACACCAAAATTGGTCTTCAGTTGATTCAATCATAAGTTAACCCCAAGATGTAACAGCCAAGGAGATCAAGACCCAAGATTCTCTATGGACACTTCTCTGGCACTCACAAAGAAAATGTGGTGAGATAGATTAATTGCCCAATGAATGGTGTTTTCTAATGTCTTCTGCTCTATTTATGTAGAAAAATAAGTGCTATAAAAATTTGCCAGATTAAAAATAAAAACTTCCAAATTAGTCCTAGGTTTGTTTTTCGAGAGGAGCCTATACTGCTAAGAAAAGTTTTGCATCATTTGACGTTGAATTTGAAATCGTTTATCTTCAAGTTAGCAATAATTAGGTGCTACCTCAGCCCTTCATCATGAACTGTAGAAGAATATGTTTCTTCCAGAGAGAGGACAGTGCCTATGTGCAGAAAGTCAAGAAAACTACTACAATTGAGAGCAGATGTTTTAAAAAGAAATGTCCTTCACTTGTCCCTTCATGAGGCAGGTAAGTTATGTTGTGACATCATTGCTTTTCCCCCTGTACCATACAAAAGTGGCACCATGCTAGTCAAATTCTAATAAACAGAATTCAGTACTTATCCCTGTATTATAAAAATAGACCATCTAAAATCCTTACATTCCCATGGGAATAAACATATATTAATTAGTTGGCATATATAGTTCATGATATACATTGTGGATGGTACATTCAATGAGAGATGAAAATAGCAGTGTAGTCTCTTCTTAATTGCATGGGTTTGAATCTAAGCCAATTATATTACTCCATTAATTTTGTCTAATGAGACCAACATGGAATTAACATGAGATACATTTTAGAAAGAAATGTGTATCTGTCACTGCCTTAGCAAGTAAATTTTGAGGTGTTATCTTTGGAGAAACTATACAAAACTCTCCGAAGAAAAAGTAGTAGGGGGTGTGAAGAGAAAGAAGGAACTGTAGGAGCTTATAGTAACAAACTTCAAGTAACTTAAATGTAACTGGATCCATGTGGAGCATCATTATTGGAAGGTCATAGGAACAGAATTCGGCTAGCCTTCAGTGGAGATTTGGGTGTAATAAAGTCAGAATTTTGGGGATGGAAGAATGCTTTGACCTATCCTATGTGTAGTATTGTATTAAGCTTTTACTATGTACTGATAATACACATATGATTTCCAAGGCAGGGGGGTTAGCTAACAATCTTATTTTTAAGGGATTTCCATGCTTGAAGGAAGTTTGTTCCATCCAAGCTGATGGACCTATGTGTTTATGTCCTGAATGAACAGTATATTGAAATAAAATGACTATGCTCTTCTCAGGGGGTTGATCATTTCAGTGGTATCTCCATTTAGGAGTTGTGGCAGGATGTGATTCAAACCATTAGTTATTAATTAGGTTTCATATAAAAATATCAGTAGACCAAAAGAAAGTGGGAGAAAACACTGTTGCTGCTCCTGCTCTGAAAGCAATTTTGATTTGTATGATTGTGTGGACAAGTCCACCCTCTTCTAGAATCCTTTATTTAGGCACTGGCACAGTCAACAAACTAGGTCACTGGGCAGGAGACTCTAATAAGGACAGTGGCTAATTTAAGCCAATTTTATTTAATGTGTAAAATGACTTCATCATGCTTTTATATTTAGAAAGTTTAAAAAAAAATCCCATCATTGTATTAGAGAAAATTCCACTTTTCAGGAGAAGCCAGGGAAAGATCAGTTTTTATTTTTGCTGAAAGCAGATGATGGTCATATCCTAAAATGACATATTACAGTGACTTGGCATTGAGCTGGACATTTTTAATATAGAACATTATAGAAAGACATTTAAATTATATACTAAAAGTAAGACAGGTTAGATATGTTTGAATTTAAAATACAAAGATAAATGAAAGAAAATGTCCTCAGTTGGCCAAACTAGATTTAAGTTAAAAACAATAATTCCCCCCTTTCAAGATGTGTGCCATGAAAGTAACAATGACAATAGTGATTTTAAATACACTTCTGAATTGAAGTACAGAAGCAAATGTGCTTGACACAGTATTTATCTTATTGTCAGCTTGCAAGGGTTGTCCTGGAGGACTCTCTGCCCTCCAATGGTCCTAAAGCTTTGAAATTTACTGATTCTAGACGCTACTTCGCAATTTCTCTGGTCTCCTTATTGAAGTGTGCTGCATACCACAAAAATTCATCAAGGAGCAGAGACAATTTCACTTCTAACTAAGGAACACTAATTTGGGGGGAAATTCTTGCTTTTAAGACTCTTGGCAAACAATCTACAAATGGAAAGAAGTCTGGAGACTGTGAACACTGTCAGCATGTATGAAGTATTAGGTAACAAGGAAGCAATGATGAGAAGCAAGTTATGCTGACTCTTGCATTTGTTATGTCTGATTCTGCATATATATTAATAATGATACACCCCTATGGATGCAATTTCATGTTTATAACACTCTGGCTATTGGCAGCATTGTGCACCTGTGTTTTCCAAGCCTTCCCATCTGCTGCCTATAGTCATTCAGATTCAGGTGACAGAAGTATTTTAGATTAAAGTTAACTAGTCTGCACTCTGCAGATCAAATCTCTACAGTTCAACATTAAATAGGAATCTTCTGGGCAACTGCAGTAGCCTGAACCCACCCTTCCTAAGATTAAAAATGTTAAGATTTGCTTTTCTAGAAAAAGAAACCTTCAGTACTGTCTCCATATATTATGCATAGATTTGATCAAACTTTTCATATGTATTTGCTCTTACTCATTTTATTTCTTATCTCTGTATATATATATATCAAAGTGAAAGAAGAAAGATTAGAAATATTTTTTCCAGCTACAGTGACAGAGTGAAAATGATATAGAGAGAAATTCTTCTAAGTCTGGACTCTTTTACTAATATACCAACCAATGTGGATCAAGCCTCTGAAATTTCCTCAGTTTCTCAGTCTTTAAAATGGGACCAAAGACAATTACCTATTTGTTTCATAAATACTTTGTGCAATGCTTAAATGCTTGATATCTTACTAAAAAACAATGCACAAAATTCAGAACACTCCCACTGCTAAGAGGACCCTGACTTAAAAAAAAAATCTTATTATTAATTGTCAACAGTTAAGTTCACAAATAGCTTCCTCTACTGAAACCACACACACACATTTAACCCATAGGAAATTAAATCATTAGTCTTCTTTATTTCTAGACAATTGGTGCAGAAATGGGCTGAGAACACAACTAAATATAGCCAGTTTCTGAAGCCACATCACATTAAGAGAGGGTAGGGACAAAGACACAAACCCAAAAGAGTCCTCCCACCCATTTTTCCAGTATCATTATGTTTTTAATGCCTTTCAATATACAAAACTAATTACCAGACTACCTATNCTGGAATATGCAGGACGGAGCTGACCAAGTCGAGCTCCATCATCTCCCCCAGGCTCTGAGGGAAGGCGAGCAGCGCCGATACCCCTTGCACCACCACGGTGTGGCACACGCTCTGCAAGAAGGAGAAAGGGTCACTGCTCCACGGCGAGCTAGGAGAGGAGAAGGGCAAGAGCGGCAGGTCGCCCAGGCCCGCCTCGATGGCCATCACTACTTCCAAAGACAGGTTGTAGGGCAGCAGTCCTTCCACTCGGTTCAGGTTGTCCACGGCGAAGAGGAGGGCGTCCCGAGGCCAAAGGGTCTCGGCCCTGGCGCCCTCCCCCGGCTTCCGTGCGCCCGGCGGCCCCCGGCCATGCAGGGCGCTCCCCAACCAGCGTGCGCCTGGCGAGGGCGCCGGGGGCAGCCAAGTCCCTGGCTCAGGTTCATCTCGCTGGGCGCCTGTCCGGCTGCCGTCCGGGGTGCGGCTGGCCGCGCGGGGGGCCGTGGTCCAGGGCTGCAAGTGCACCGCGCCCACCCTCACCGCGTGTCCGATGCGCTTGAGGATCTGGCAGGGCTGCGGGTGCGAGGAGGAGCCAGGCACCCCGGCCAGCACCAGAGCGCAGGGCGGCGGCAGCAGCAGACAGACCCTGCTCAGCAGCCACCACAAACTCAGTCTCCTCATTACTGAGACCCGCAGGGAGAAAGCGCGCCCCCTCCTGCGCCCGCCTCACCCCGCTGCAGCAGCCGCCGCCTAAGATCTCCGCCCCCAGGTCCCGCGCGCCGCTCACTCGGCTTGGCGAAGCGGTCCCAGGAGCTGGAGCGGACTCTGGGCCATCCAAGTGGGAGGCTAGCGCGCCCTCGGCGGTCTCAGAACCCGCTCCCAAGTCCCTCCGCCTCGCATCCTCTGCCCGCCCGGTCCCTGCGCGGAGCGGGGCGGGCGGAGCTGGTCACCCGCGGTTTGGGCGCCCGTTCCCTGCCCGCCCCATCCGCAGGGCGGCTCGGGCACTGTGTCCGGTCCCGCGGGGAGGCTGCGCCGAGAAGCCGAGGGGATTTCTAGGGGGCAACGGTGAGCGAGGAGGCAAGAAGCTCACTTGATTCTTGACTCTTCTTTTTCCGCCCAGACGAGACCCACTTATTTCCTTGGCCTCGCGCAGGAGAAGGGGGTTCACACCTGGGGTGCGAGAAAGCAGCCAAATCCTCCTAGCTCCGCCGTCGGCCGCCCTCTCGCGGGCTCCCCCAGCTCTGGCTTCATTTTTCTTCTTCCCTCGCTACTTCCTCCCTTTCTTTCTTTCGTCCTCTTTCCGCCCAGTCGCCGCCGCCGCCGCCGGCTTCCTCAGAGGAGCGACGCGACTGGCCAGCAAAGGGTGGTTCTGCTCGGAGCGCAAAGTTCTCCCCGCCTCAGCCGGCGCCTCCCTGTTGCTGAGCCAGGCGCCGGCCTGTCGCTTGGCTGCGCTAAACGCCCGCTGATGGTTCAGAGTCGCTGGTGGCGCTTCCCGCGCCCCTGGCAAGTTCTCGCCCCTCCAAGGCCAGCAGTTGTAGTTGGCGATATTCCTTGCGCCCTAAGACGAATTCAGAATTCGGAGTTGCGCTTGAGGAATCTGAAATCCAGTGGTTCCCTGGGATAGGCTGAAAGACGCAGTGACTTTAAGAAGCTCCTCTTCGATGTCTTTTTTAACGGTTTTTTTAGCTAAAGGTATTAAAGCAAGAACTATATATACGTTTAATATCCTCAGCTTCCTGCTTTTTGGCACGTGGACGTTTGACCCCCCTTTTTTTTGAGGATCCCAATGTTTTGGGGTTCTCAGAATTATAACAAAATTTGAAGCAATTATGTGACCAAGAAATTTAAAATATCAATACTTTGAAAGTATACTTGCAAGCACACTCAACAGCAGATTCTGGTTTAGACCAAGAGTCCTCCAGATTATCGCTTGGGTTTGGGTGAACTCCAGGAGCTGGTGATGGACAGGGTGGCCTTGCGTGCTGCGGTTCATGGGGTCGCAAAGAGCCGGACACGACTGAGCGACTGAACTAAGGCGCTCTCATTTGTGTGGTATTGAATACAATGAGGTCAGTGGGTTACAATTTGACCTTTTCCTCCATGATCTGACCAATCTGGAGTTGGAGGGAGCAGGTTAAGGGTAGTACTCTGGTTTCCACACACAGTAAATTTATTTTATTTCATGCCACAGTATCATTTATGAGGGGGCTTCCCAGGTTGCTCAGATGGTAAAGAATCTATTGCAATGCAGGAGACCTGGGTTCAGGCCCTGAGTGGGGAAGATCCCCTGGAGGAGGGCATAGCAACCCCCTTCAGTATTCTTGCCTGGAGAATCTCATAGATAGGGGAGCCTGGTGGGCTACAGTCCATGGGGTTGCAAAGAGACACAACTGAAGCGACTTAGGATGTATTCATCATTTATGAGGAGAGTAGGTGAGATATCCGTGGGGCAGAAAGAGCACCTGGAATGAGGAGTTCTGAATTTCAATAACACTTCCGGAGAACCATGACCTTGGCAATTTATTTTACCTAACATTGCCCTGCTATTTGGATCTGGTAAATTGTTATGCAAATACAGCTAGCTTTTAGCTCTGGAGAGTTGTTTTGATTCATGAGCTACAGTTTCCATCTTGCTTTAAATCCTTGGGATGAAGAGGCTCTAGCTAAATAAAATTCTCAAGAAGCTTGCAAAGTGAATGCTGTTTTCCTCAGCACAGATCTTGAAAGCCATCTCAGCGCTAACCTTACCTGACATTCTAATTAGCTCTTGCAAGACTGGGGTGCTAGAGAAAAGACTCCCATGAGGCCAAAGTGGCAATCATACTAGAGTCTGAACCAGAAAGGAAAGATTCTTCCTGAAGCCCTAGAGAGGCTCTGGTGCATGCATGTTGGAACTTTCCTTTTGCTCCAGATAATTCCACTGATTAGGATCTGAAAAAGAAAATTATAGAATTTTGTGGTCCTTGCATTCCAAGAAGACTGGGAATCACTTGTGCAGTAAGGAGGCGTGCTTGTCTGTGTGTGAATATGTGTGTGTGGAGGAGTATGGCATTCCAGATTATGACCATGCCCTAGAATGATTATCTTGGTGCTTGGCATCACATATGTGTTCAAACCAGGTTCCCAAGAAAATAGTTGGTGATGAAGAACAATTGGATCTAATCTGTTAATGGCATCCAAGAGCCAGTGTTACTGACCCTTTCCAATTGTGCCCTAACAAAGGTCCTACTGCCCAGAGTCTTTGGAGCCAGTAGAACAGACCAAGTTCAGTTTAGAAGAAAAGTAAAGTTTTTTTTTTTTTTTTCTTTCATCAGATAATGGAGAGGTGCAAGCTTGCACCCTAGGTAGCAGGCTTTCTCCGACAGAACGCAGATGGGGCTGCTTTATAGGAATCTCATCGGTACGGAGGGGCAGAGTCCCTGGGAAGGCAGGCACAGCCGTTCAGCTCACGCCAGAAGGCATATACTGCAGGTTGCACGTGGCGTCTCTGCACGCCGCCCACCAGCTGCCATCTTGAATCGAGCGAAGCGTGCTGCTTCCGGTCGTGGCCCTAAGCTGAGGCGTCAGCTATTTCTCACTAGGAATTCGAGACTGAGGTGCCTGGTGTGAGACCTCTGCCTGCGGCCCCTAAGAACAAGTGAAACTGAAGTAAGCACGTGGGAAAAAAAGGTTAGACTTTATTTTATTATCCAGGTTCTATATTTACTTCCTAGGAACTGTTAACAGGCTTTCCCGGTGGTAGCGGTGTGTTCTTTCTGTCTCTCACAAGTCAAGGACCGCTTGGGGGAATGGCTGAACTTGCTTATTCATAGTATAAACCATGATTCCCATGGTTTTGAGGAAAGTGCTGCCCTGGCTTATGATAAAACTGTAACTAAATCTTGTGAATATTGTTTGAATGGTGAAGAACAACCCTTCTTTCTTATGCTTCCTTTTCTTTCTTTCCTGGGTTTTTCAATTATGTGACCCTGATTCCTTTCTGTTTTCTTATGCTGCTTGTTTCTCTTTTTCCGTATCACTGTACCCTAAGCATCTCTGACATGCTTCTCTTCGTTCCTTTCCCCACGTTTTCCTTCCCTCCCACCACTTCTTGTGCATACTTCATAATTGGTCATAATTTTGAAAGTTTTTAAAAGATTCAATCATTTATTAATTAAATTAATTAAACTCTTACTAAGTGCAGGCATTTCTGTAGGACTGTACTGGGGAATAGATGAATAAACTCTGGTTCAGAGGAGTTGAGGATATATTTCCCGCCAACAAAGTCACATAGCTAATGTGTGAACAAAATGCTAATGTTGAGCTTATATTTTAGTGAGAGAGACAGACAATAAAACATACAAGTAAGTAAATGTAGAATATGTTAGTTGCTACTCAAGAGAAAAATAGAAGAAAAGAAGTATTATGGAGGAGATTGGTTAGTAATTTTAGATGGGGGAACTGGGGTAAACCCTCTCAGAAGATTACTTTTGAATAAAGATCTAAAGGGAGGTGAGGGAGTGATTCATATGAGTACTTAAAGAATTTGCAAGCAGAGAAACAGCAAGTGCAAAGGCCCTGAGGTAGGAGTGTTTCCACTATGTCTGAAGAGTAGTAAAGAGGTCAAGTTGCTGGCACAACTGATCCAGTATGAGTGGTGGCTGGTGAATTCAGAGCAGCAGTGAGGAGGTGCAGATAGTGTAAGCCAATCATTAACTTTGACTTCTACTCTGAAAGGGATAAGAAGGCACTGGGGAGGGGAGAGCTAAGTAGAAGAATGAGTTGTGAACTTGTGTTTTACCACTCTCGCTGCTCTGCTGATGGAAGGAGAAAGGTGGGCTGGGATGGAAGATGGGAGATCAGGTGTTATGCTGTTGCAGTAATCCATGAGAGATACCGTTGCTGTGAAATCATAAGGCACCTTAATCACATTAGTGTTATTATTCCCATTCTATAGAATAGAAAATTGTATCTGAAGAAAGTGAAGTTATTTGCACAAAGTCATCACATAGTGAGTGGCAGAGTGGATTCAAAATTTTAAGTTCATCCCAGCTGCATTGTTGGTAGCAAGAATCAGCCAAATTTCAAAATTGGCTCACTCAGAGAAGATGAAGTTCTCTTTATTACCAGATTTGAAATGAGAACTACTAATCTAAGAACCCATGTTGGAGAGTCAAATAAAAACAAATCCAAATTCTCACAATTTAAAATGTACTTTTGTGTACATCTGTTTTCTGGTATCAGGAATGGGTAGGCTGAAAGTTGAGATTTTCTGGAGGTAGCCCAGGAAAGACTGGAGTGAAGAATACTGTGTGAGTCAGGAACTTGGATGCTATTCTTATCTCTGTTTCCCTCTGGATGTGATGTGACATTTAACCCCCTGGAGCTCAAACTTTCACCTTTGTACTGGGATTATGGCGACAGCTCTTGGCAGTTGCCTGCATGGCAGGGCATGGACCCCGTGAACCCTTTTTAGTTCCATGGGAAGCTTCTTGTAGGTTATCAGTTCTGTCATATACATATTAAGGTTTGCAAAACTATCTTCCTTTTTTGCCTATACCCTGAGATATTTCAAGTTTTATACATGTCTAGCTTTGTTTTGTAGATGACAATAATATTAAATGGCATATTTCTATCTCTGGGTCAGTGTTTTATGCAGTAGTAGGTATTTTAAATCAATATTCAGATGAAAAGTTTGCTCA